ATATATTAAAATTCAACATTAATCTTACTTAGAAAGCAGTGAAAATAAATAATACTGTAAAAATTATTTTTCATGTATGATGAGTATACAGATGATATGAGTGCATTGAAATTCACATGTTTTTAAGAAACTGAAATTAGAGAAATGAGAACATGCCACTTTTATTTTTTATGTGTATGTGTGTATATATACATGTATTATTTGTTTTCCACTTCTATAGAAATCCTGTCAGGATTTCAATGTTCTCTTCAGAGAATCGTCTGAGAAAATACAAGAACTGACCATTAAGTTTTCCACATGTTTACAAAATATTAAGAGATTTAGTGAGAATCAAAGAAAAGCTTCTGAGAATGTAAGAGGAGTTGAATTTTTTTTATTAAGCTCCATTGAGCTAATCAAAAATATTACTTTTTTAATGCCTGAGTTGAATATATTCTTACATTAAAGCTATACACAACATTAAAAGCAAGTTAAATAATTTCTGTTAGATGTATAAGGCATTTATTGTGCTAACTACTTTCATGCTACATTTTCAAAAATCTTTTTGTTAACAGAGTGCACATTGAATGCACATGTGTGCATGTATGTCTTTAGTAAGCATTTCTACAAACTAAAATTTTAATTTTTCTTGGTTAATTATTTTAAACAGCATGTTTGAAAATAATGTATTTCTTCTAAGTATACAACTCATAATTTAGAATGATCTACAGTTTTATTTGTATGCTTATACAAAATACAATAAAAACACTCTGGAAAGGGATAATTTAAAACCAAAAACTAGTCAGGATTAGGTCTGGTTTAAAATATGCTATCATTTTATATAAGTTTTCCCAATGCATGAATGTGAATAAAAATTAACAAACAGTAAAGTAACAAAACAAACTACAAATCAACTAACATTTTTACTGACACTATTCTTTTTATTTTTACACAAATTGAAGTTAAAAAGTAATTCAAAATCTGATCTTAATGTTTTTGGCATAACATTTATATGTAGGTGATGTTTTAACCTAGTTGTAGAATGTTTTTCTAGGTTTTCTGTATTTTCCAAAATATAAATTGAATATGGAAAGATGCTTAAACTAAGACATACTTATTAAATGATGATGTTTACATTGTTTAACCTGCTCAGAAATAAAACAAACTGAACTTTTTAAACTACGGTGTTTTTGATTGCATCAAACAATTTTAGGTATAAGTATTACTAGTGATTTAACAAATAAAAAATATCCTTGTCTTATAATTTTTATTTTTATTTACCCATAAAATGTTGTTACATGAAAAGTTATAAAGGTTATGTATAAAAATTTCTCTGTGGTTTGTCGCAGGAAAAGGATGTGTTTTCTCCAGATTATACAGGATATTGTGTAACATCAAAACGGAATGGTGAGGTTGTATGGGAAATGCAAGATCTTCACATCAAACTAAAGAAAGCTATTGAAAAGTCAAGGTTGGAGTGTGTATTTGAATAATTTTAATAGTAAATATAGAGAAAATAAATAGATAAATGAATATATATACACACAATATATGTATGTGACATACATACATTTAGTTTGGTTCACAGAATACAACAGCAACAAAAAGGACAAGCTTTTATTGTTGTTTTTTTTCAATATTAAAAAGATTACATTTCATATCAAACATAAATTCTTAGATTCCTGTTGCCTCTCAGTGGTAAGTCTGAGGGTTTATTACACTAAAAATTGGGTTCCATAAATGAAAAAGTGTAGTTCATGATATCTTTAATTTTGTAATAACAATTTTGTATCTTATTTTTTATGTGGAAAATGTTTTTTAAATCTTACAAAAGGTTTTTTTTAAAGTGATGAAAACTTTGAAAAAATAAGTTATAGGGAGGTAAATTAATTATTAACAAGCAGTTTTCTGATACTTTAGACTCTTTTTGTGGAATGTGAATCATATATATATATGTGCTTAAAGAAGTTTTCTTTAATTCAGTAACATTTGTATACATTAATCTTCGTGAAGTTTTTGTGCAATGTGAATCATATATATGTGCTTAAAGAAGTTTTCTTTAATTCAGTAACATTTGTATACATTAATCTTGGTGAATGTTTAGTGTGGTTTCTTATGGAAGACGTGATTTGGCAATGGCTGGCATTGATGAAAAAGAAAATTATTGTATGAAATTGGTTGCTGTATATTAAAATAGTCATCAAACTATATAAATTTTGAGTTTATAGATATATTAAAATGATTCATGAGAATAAACAAAAACAACACGGTCTTCAAAGACAATTGGTTTTATTCTACGTGTATGTAGGCTCAACTTTTGCTTCTCTGTCTCAAAATTGAAAAGATAATTGTGTGTACTTTGTGTTTTCTTAATATTATCCATCATAGTTCAAATAACCACTGGCTTGCTGAATAATTCTTAGTTCTTGTTATGTAACATTTTCCTGTTTTAAAAACCAAGTCATAAGATTAATATTTAGTAACTCAACTTCTGTTACCTTATTTAGTTTTTTCAGCCAAGTATAAAAATTATATCTTTAGGAAAATATTTTTGAGTCCCCAAAACAAATTAATACAGTAACAAGTAAAATTACAAAGAAATACATTTGTTAAACAAGTTGTACTATGAATTCAAAGAGTGAATTACATTTCTAATTATACAATTGAAACAAAAGTAATTCCATATATTACTAACTTTTTGTTAATTCTAAATAATAATAATATCATACTTGTTTTTATTCTAGTGTATTAAAAGAATAGATGATACACAAAATTCTGTCATAAGTCATAATTGAAAGCGAATTCAAAGAGTGAATTACATTTCTAATTATACAATTGAAACAAAAGTAATTCCATATATTACTAACTTTTTGTTAATTCTAAATAATAATAATATCATACTTGTTTTCATTCTAGTGTGGCACAACTTTTGCTTCTCTGTCTCAAAATTGAAAAGATAATTGTTTGTACTTTGTGTTTTCTTAATATTATCTATCATAGTTCAAATAACCACTGGCTTGCTGAATAATTCTTAGTTCTTGTTATGTAACATTTTCCTGTTTTAAAAACCGAGTCATAAGATTAATATTTAGTAACTCAAATTCTGTTACCTTATTTATTTTTTTCAGCCAAGTATAAAAATTATATCTTTAGGAAAATATTTTTGAGTCCCCAAAACAAATTAATACAGTAACAAGTAAAATTACAAAGAAATACATTTCTTAAACAAGTTGTACTATTTACATACACGTAGAATAAAACCAATTGTCTTTGAAGACCGTGTCGTTTTTGTTTATTCTCATAAATCATTTTAATATATCTATAAA